TGTTACGAGGCATTATTGAATGTTTATGCTGAAATTAAGGAAAAAATGTTGAAGAAAGGATGGTCCTACAGAGTCCACTATGGAAAAGAAGCAGTATGCACCACCCGATCTAGTCTCTTTCCTTGAAATCAAATGCTAACATATATACTGTGTTGTTAATTTACCTTGTGGAAATTAATCTATTATGTGTAACTTCAATCTACGATGTATACAGATGAAAGGTTTAGTCCACGCCTACTTTGACGAAACCCAATGCTTCCATGAAAATCGCGTCCCAACAATGGAAGAGTATATGCAGGTGGCTCTAGTAACCTCTGGTTATTTCATGCTCACAACCGTATCTTTTATTGGCATGGGCGACATAGTAACCAAGCAAGCTTTTGACTGGGTATTCAATCACCCTAAAATTATTAGAGCCTCAGAAACAATTGGCAGACTCATGGATGATGTAAAATCTCATAAGGTATGGACTTCTTTTTGTTGAAAAACATTAAAGTAAAAGATGGCTGCAAATTTCTTGAAAGGAATAGATGTTGAAGTTTAGATAATTTGAGCTTCATTTTAATCTTATAATGTATACTCTTCAGTTTGAACAAGAGAGAGGGCACGCTGCCTCAGGAGTTGAATGTTACATAAAGGAATATGGTGTCTCGGAACAAGAAGTGCATAAAGAGTTTCACATGCAAGTCGTCAATGCGTGGAAGGATATAAATGAAGAGTGTCTCAAACCTACCGCTGTACCAATGCCTCTGCTTGAACGGATTCTCAATCTTTCGAGAGTCATAGATGTCATTTACAAGGAGGAAGATGGCTATACCCATGTTGGAAAAGTGATGAAAACCAATGTTGCGGCGTTGCTTATAGATCCAGTGCCAATATAACTGCTAGGTTGTGGATTTCGCAGGCTTTTACAATGGAAACAAATTCCGACCATCCTTGCAGTTTGTTGGTTTCTATTTCACTAACATTGTAAGCGACCAAGGGTTTAAGGCTTGTAAAAGCGAGGACAATACATACAAGTGATACATACAAGTGATACATGTTCCAATTACTAAATTAAAATTGTTGTATTGATTGAAAAAAAAAATCTATAATACTAATAAATTTTAGATCATTTGGAAAGTCTCATCACGAGCACTCGTTATAATGTATTAGAATATTGTATAATAATCATAGGATGGATTTGAGTCTCAATTCAAGGGATTGTTGTTGGCGTTCCTATTAATTAACGGATTATGATTCTATTTCTTATTTTGGTGTACGAGTTGCATATAAATAATCTAGACACCTTCAAAGTAGACACAAGTTATTGAAAATGTAGTCTCTTGTGATTTCACATTTTCCTATAATACAAATTATACCTTGTTATGATGTTAAATGAATTCTAATCCTAATTTTATAACGACTTGTTAATGAGGATTGGTTTTGACTAGCATTAGAAACTTTGTAGTATTAGGATTGTTACCAATCCTTTATCCATTAGGACCGAGACATATTCTCTAGAAATATATGTTTAACTTTATTATTATTATTATTATTACAACCAGTCATGTAAAGATAGTTCAAAGTTGAAACACATAATTACAAAATCCTTCCAAAACCAATAACTATAAATTCAACGAGCAATTGAAACTCAATCGCCCATAAATCAATATAGCCAAAATCAATAATCGAACAATAACAAGCCACAAACCTCAAATCCAAACAAACAATCTTCCAAAACCTAATTTTAGACTAGGTCGAAACCTTATGTCCAATTTACTCCAGTTATCAAAACTTCAATTAACTTATGACCAAGTTAGATCAAGTCCCAATCCCCAATACAATAAGAAAAAAATGTTTAAGCCAAACTATGTTAAAATTGAAACTTATAAGCATAATTAAACTAGCCTTCATTGATTTTGGCATAAGTCAAAGACTCTACTAAAACTCCAGCTATAAGGATAAATATGCAAATCTAAGCAAGCATAATGTTTGATGTAGTTGATTCTTAACACCACTCGATTGATCAAGTTAAAAATACAGTAGCATGCTCATAAGTAAACCACAAGGAAGATGCAATTTTAGAGAAAAACTCTCCCATAGTTTATTTCAAAGTTCAACAAAAGCTATCTTTCTAAATTACACAAGTACACTTAAATACATAAGCGAGGAGCCGACTAACTATAACATAAAAAAAAAAAGTGGCAACACCTCTAAAAAATTAGAAGAATATTCGGCCAACCCCTTCCCTAAATCAACAAGAACACATCCAATCCTAGTACCCAAATAATTATGGACTCCTAATTAAATATGAATCATTCACAATTACGGACTTCTAAACAAACATGGATTCAAAACAAATATCAATAACCAATCATAGGCCATTAGGCCAACTACTAATAACAATTACTAATACACTAAAACAAGTGGGATTTTTCTCGTTCATAAACTCGTTCACTCACTCTAAATTTACTCGTGGACAAAGACTCAATGTTACTCGTGTTGCCTTTTTCCATACATTTTAGTCGTTCATTTTCTCGCTTTGTTTTATCTCCTTCGTTGGTTTCCAATATTGTTGCGAAAGTCCATCCTTTTTCTCTTGATTGTCAATTTAACATCCTTATACTACTTGCTTAATTGCTATTGTACCATTTAGTGATGATGCCAAGTTACGTTCTTACCCTTACTTTTCTTTTTTACCTTTTCGTTTTTTATCCTTTTTTTTGTAATTTGCTCCTTACTTGGACAAAGCAATTAATGCTCAATCATGATCTTTTGCTTGCAAAATTTTTTTTTCTTTGGAATACGTATATTGTGAGTTTAGTTATTTTTACTTTTTTTGTTTTGGTCCTTACATTAAAAGTATGTTTTTATTTGGTTTATTGGATTTCAAAATGTTTAAAATGATCCTAAACTATATATATGATTAAGTTGAAATGTATTTAATAAAAATTAAATATTTTTTAATAGAGAGTGGATATTGCAATAGTTAACATGATCTAAAATTGTGTTAGTTAATAAGATAACTTCATATGATTACCCAAAATAGAATCTAAATTTTTTTATTAATTCAAATTATTTTTAAAATGATCCTAAACAATATATGATTAATTTGAAATATATTTTTTTAAAAATAATTTTTTTAATAGAGATTAAATATTGCCATAATTAACATGATTTAAAGTCTGTGTTAATTAATGAGATAACTTTATATCGTTTCCCAAAATAGAATTTTTTTAAAAAAAATTGGTACATATTTAGGGTTATTCATTATCTTATTATACGAATTTGGTTTAAAATATTAATCTTTCATGTTTTATATTTTTGAATTTATGTATTTTGTTTTGATTTATAATTTAATTTTGCATATTGAATTATTTAAAATTATTTCATAAATTTTATTTTAGTATTTTATTGGATTGAATATTTAAAGAAATTTTTTTACGGTATTGCAAATACATCATTAAAATAGTGAGAATAATGATATCTAGAAATGTATGTGAAAAACTTTAATAAGTTTTGATATATAAATATCAAAGAAGTTAAAAGCTAAGATCATTGTTAAAAAAAAATAAAATAAAAAAATAAAAAAAAATAAAAAAATAATAATAATTATTGTTCATGCATTGTTCACCATCCTTCATTTTCCTGTTCATTACTATAACACTAAAACAGGTTGACATTATTAAGTATAATGTCATGTTTGTATTTGACTTTGGATCAATAGTTAATTCCTTGACAAGAATGGTTGATAGATCGATCCAGATGGAATCCTGTGCTTATAGAAAATTGGGTTTGAATATATTATGAAAGAGCGGAGAGGATTTAAAATTGACAACTAAACTTAACAACTTCTTCATGGCATAGTTTATTGCTCGGCAGACAGCTGGAACTGAAATCTCTTGAAAGTACTAAGCTAAAAAATAATATTCGTTGCGCAAACCAGACCTTGCAGATGCAAATAATGACAATTACAGTAAACAACTCTGTGAAAAATGCGCATTCTTAAATGTGGCTCACACGTCAATTATATTGAATTAGATGCTTCATGACAAATTATTTCACTTAATCGCCACAACTTGCCAAAAGATTAGTTCAATGGTCAAATTCATGAAAGATATCTGCAAACGTTTAATTTCTAATAGACGGTTAGTTAAACGGAATACAAAAGGCATCCATCATTCGTTCGTCTTTCGTTGTTCCATCTCTTAACAATTAGATTGATTTTAAAAAATGGAGAAGTAATATATTTGTAAGGACAAGCAGAAATAATGAGTTTACAGAATAGGAATATCTATGCCAGAGCACAAATAATGATTTCTTAAACATTAAGGAGAGTGCATTACTGGAACAAGTACAAGGGGTGTTTTCTTATGAACAATTAGTGCATTAGACTCATCCATGTCCAGGTCTTCTGGATTGCCACCATTTGGTATTTTCCAATCAAACCAGAATAAAAGGTTGGCCAGCACCATTTCAGCTTCTATAACTGCAAATGACAGACCGGGACAAAGCCTTCTTCCCCCACCAAATGGCATGAAATGGCTGTGTTGACTCTTAAAGTCCACTGAAATGTTGGCAAATCTCTCAGGGATAAACTCTTCAGGCCTGTCCCATTGTTTGGGGTCTCTTTGAATTGCCCATGCATTAATCAACACTCTTGTTTTTGGAGGGATATCGTAACCCTCTAGTTTAACAGCTTCAGATGTTTCTCGAGCTATCATTGCAGGAGCATGTAACCTTAAGCTTTCTTTGAGAACACATTTTAGGTAGGCCATTTCATTGATATTATCTTCAGAAAGCTTTGACTCCTCTCCTACCACTCTTCTTACCTCTTCTTGGGCTTTCTCAATTATACTAGGATTTTTCACAAGCTCTGCCATTGCCCATTCCATAGCTGCTGCTGTTGTATCAGTTCCTCCAACAAACATGTCCTGTAACAAGAAAATAGAGCTATTAACGGACGCATATGCGCGAAAACAAACACAAAAGAATGGTTAAGAGAATGAGAGGGAGACCATTAGGATTGCTTTGAGGTTCTCTCGAGTAAGATCTATGTCAAGCATGCCATTATTTTGCAGATCAAGAAGAATGTCCACAATGTCTTTCTTATCAGATTCATTATTCCTCACTAAATTCTCATGTTCTTCAATCACTTGATCAAGGAAATCATGTAAGGCTTTGGAAGTATGTTTCAAACCTGCAACCAAGCCAGTTAAGTTATCCAACCATCCCAAAAAGTGAAACATATCTTTGAAGCAAAACGATGCTATAAAGTCTATTGCCTTCCTCTACAATCCTCCAAAACTCTCATCGTCGCCTACATTTTCATATACTCGACCAAGAGCAGATCTAGATATTATGTTGTTCGAGACATTAAGGAACAAATCACTAAGATCTACTCCAGCTCCGTTGAGACATGATAGCCGCACCTTCTCCACCATGTTTGCAACTTCTTCCTTCCTCACAAATTGAAATGCCTGAACCCTTTTTTGGCTCAAAAGTTCAAGAACACAAATCTTCTTCACTTGTCTCCAGTACTCACCATAGGGACAAAATGCAACATCAACGCATCCATAGAAGAGAGCATCGGCAGCTCTTGTTTGAGGTCTGCCGGCAAAAGCTACATCATGACTTTTCATGACCTCTTGAGCCACCTCTGCCGATGAAACGATCAGAGTTGGAGCTTTCCCAAAATGTAGAAGCATTAAAGGGCCATAATTTGCAGAAAGCTTTTGGAGAGATCTATGAAGGAGTCTGCCTAGCTGGTGAAGATTTCCAATTATGGGTAGCTTTGGTGGCGATGGGGGTAAATTTGATCTGTCTCTTTTAGCTAGCCTCAGCAAAAATAGAAGGGAGAAGAGGAGAAAAAGACATAGAAAGGGATTGAGCAGGATCATTTTTTGCAGTTCCTGGGACCATTGCTGAAGCTTAATCACTTGAGCCATTTCCTAACATTAGACCCACAAGATGCAGCTCAATCTATAACAAAAACTTCACTCTTCTTCTGCATATTCTAATGAAGTCACTTAAATCATAGATAACCAACATGTGCTAAGGACGCAATGCGATTTAAAATTAGCATTAAGATCCATAGATCTCAGTGCATAATGTTATATGATATATAAAAATATTGCATTGATAGATAGTTATAGATTTTACCTTTAAAAAAGATATCTAGAAGATATGGTAAAAGACAGAGTATGGTAGTAAATAGAGATTTTTTTTTTTAAAAAAAAAAAGGTATTTTGTTGACTTATTGTATGGCCTGACATATATAACCAGATTCGATATCTTGAGCATCTCAAACCTTGAAAGCAGGAATAGAACCTTGAAAATGAAGCTAAAGTTTTCAAGTAAAATAGTAGCTAATAAGTCAAAGCAATCAAGTAAAGGCTTGAGATAATAAACTTTGTGATTCTAAACAAAACTGAAAGACACAGATCCTTAAATGTAGCTAAGACTATGTTTTTATTCGGATTAAGCAAAACAACATTATCCACTTCCTGCTATTATTATTACTATTATTAACAAAAAAAAAAAATTACAAAATTACAAAAACTGAGTGAGAAGAGTAGTGGAAAGCTTTGGAAACGGGCTAGTCGATTCAAGAAGCCTGCGACTTTCAAGGAGAATGATTTGGTTTGGGTACACTTACACATAGGAAGGTTTCTTAAGGATCGCTATGCCAAGTTTAGGGAGATAGATGGTCCTTGCCGCGTGGTGAAGAGAGTTGGGGAGAACGTATATAGGGTGGAGCTTTTTGGAGATTACAGTGTCACGGCTACATTCAATTCCACTGAAATTTCACCTCATCTTGACGAAAAAGACGGAGAACAAAATATCGAGAATGAATCTTCTTGAACCCAGAGAGTTTGATACCGGAGTGTCTTTGAGCCTTGGTTGAGTGTCTCTATCCATTTTGGACTAATGTTCAAGCATGGAGGAGCATGCTTCAGGCTGAAATATCCAGCTGAATTATATTTAATTATTTCTTGTTTAATTATTTTTATTCCATCCTTCTTGGATGTGGATTACTATTTTTTTTTTTTTTTGGCATTATTTTGAATTTTTTTTATGTTTCGGACTTTGGCGAATTTAGTTAGTCCTTATGGCATGTGGATTGATATTTTATTTAGTGGTGGCCGAATAGGCCTAGGTCAGCAAAGGTTTGGAATCCATATTTGTTGTGGATTCATACGTATTTTAGGACTCCATTACAGATTCATATTTAACTTGTACTAAGGTTAATTAGTCTTTGTTAAGTATGGATCACATTGAGTCCAATTAGGATTAGAAAGCTATTTTTATTTCTTTTAATTTCAAATTGGGCTTAAGATTTTGTAGTCTAATTGGACAAATGTTTCTTAACCCTAGCTGAAAGCCTAGCTTAAGTATTGAAGCTTCTTTTTTCTAATTTTTAAGGCAAAGACTTTGATATTTTGAATAAACTTTTGTGTGACATTTTTCGTCCATTGCGTCTTTCTTGTGCTTGGCATAAGAGTGTGATATGTACCATTGAATTAATCAATCAAGGTGTTAACTTGATCAATTAAGTCAAATCCTTAAAGTGGTGTATTTGTATCATTAAGTTTTATGTGCGAATCATACATAAGTTTCGACATCTACATAGTTAGGTCTTAACTTATCATTATTTTAAATGTGATTTGGATTTGTTTTTTTTCATTGAATTATCATCTACAAGTCACAACATAGTTGAATTTAAGGAGTTAGGGTTGTTTGGCTAGCTTGGTTTTTTGTGTATGAAATTTTGGCTAACTTCATATTAGGGTTTTGAAGATAATTTCTTGTGGTTTGTGAGGGTTTGTTTGTTGGATTCTATTTTTGGCTTTGTTATATTTATAAATTGATTCGTGGGTGCTTGAGTATTGATTCTTGTTGAAAAGTTGCTTATTGAATTCAGCTTGAAGGTTGTTGGTGTTTATGTTGTTTTGGATTTGCTTATCTTTGCATATTACGTGTCATATCCTCTCTCTAACCTATTCATGTAAACTCTTGATCTCCTTAGCCCTTTCATAACCATCAACACTATACTTAGTTATAGTTGGCTTCGAAGTGAGTTTAATAAGGGTGATAGTGTTTTTGTTATATATTCATGGTATGACTAGGTGATCGATTGTTAGCAAACTTGGCCTAAGACCACTAAAACTTCCTACTTACTGCTTTGGTTTGACTATCTATTTATGGATGTATTACAAAACTAAGCTAAAGCTTGGTTTCTATTTTCCTCTAAAGGGTCTTCCAAAAATGACTTATGAACTTAACTTCTTTATTTGAAGTAATAGTATTAGGAATGCCATGTAATATGAGTACCTCATGAAAATACAATTTTGTAGTATAGGTAGCATCATTTGTCTTTCTATATAAAATGAAGTGTGCCATCTTGAAAATCTACCCACAATCAACATCACAACATCTTTAGATCTCTATGTTCTCGAAAGACTAATCACAAATTTCATGGTTATATCAACCCACATTTATGCTAAAAAAAAGTAATAGAGTATATATACTTGTTTTTTGGTCTCTAGTATTCGCCATATAACAACCTTATACTTCTTGACATAACTATCAATAAGCCTCGACATTAGTGGCCAACATAAGCTTTTGACTACAAGCTCCAATGTCATGTCTCGACCTCATTAACCCATATGTCCTTCATAATAACACTCGACCAATATAGATTCTTGGAAATAATATTGAGCCAAACACAAACAATTTTTATAGAACAAATAACCACTATTAATATGAAATTATTTATAAGAGGATATACCACAATGCTTCCATATATTTTCAAAATTACCATTCTCTTGATATAGGTCCTTGAGCACCTCAAACCCCATAATACAATCTTTTAAAGTAGAAAGTAAAGCATGCCTTCTACTAAGTGCATATGCCATCTTATTCAAGACCGTAGACTTATGCTTTAGAACATAGTTGAAAGGTAACAAGAACTCGCTTCATCATACATATCTTCCTTTTAATTTGAGTTGATTATAGAGATGCTTAAGCACCTCATGATTTGAAAACATAAAAACTTTATGGTTAGAAGATAGTGTCATCGATGATCTAATACACCGATAATAGTACAAAACTCTTTATCATAAGTGGAATATTTTCTTCGGCTTTACTTAACTTCTATTAAATATGCCACAAGCTGGCCCTCTTGACTATGTACGACACCAATTTTGACATAAAACCATCACATTCAACTTCAAACACTATATAAAAAAGTCGGGTTAAAGGTTCGGGATATTCCTCCACTATTTTAAATGTCTTAGTTGTGTCTCTCGACTAAATTTTTTAACTATCATGTCCCTCTACTCTTAATTGCATTTGCATTTGGTCCCTCCGATCATTTTTTCAAGCAATGGAGAAAAAAACAACAAAACATGAAATGTGTCTTTGTTGCCTGAAAAAGTGATCGGAGGGAAATGCAAACGCAATTAAGAGTAGAGGAATAGTTGAAAATTTTAGTAAAGGGACATAATTAAGAGATTTGAAATAGTAAAGGGATATATTAGGCCTTAAACCCCCTTTTTTAAAAAAAAAAGTCAAGCAATGATAGAATAAGAGCTTTGGTCACTCTACTTTTCAATATGTCAAAACTCTCTTAAGCCCCAAGTGTCTAGACAAACTTTTCATTCTTTAGTAACTCAATGATAGGTGTGGTTGTAGTGCTAAACCTTTTTTAGATAAAAGGACACTAACTCGTGGAAACTTCTCACCTCTTTTAGTATCCTATATATTGGCCTATTAAAAATAGCCTTCATTTAACTAACATCCATCTCAATTCCCTTCTATGAAAAAAAAAAAAAAAACAACAATTTTGGTAGAGTAAAAGTGACACTTCTTAAGGTTGGCATACATTTTCGACTCTTGCAAAAACTTCAAGACCTATCTCAAATGATCAAGTTCTCATCGGGTAGTCAATTATGCATGAGTATGTCATCAAAATAAACAACAATAAACTTGTGAATGAATGACCTAAACACCTAGTTCATCAACTTTATAAAAGCACTAGGTGCATTTTGATAACCCAAATAGCATGACCATCCATTCGTAGAGATCTCAAGTCTTAAAAGTAGTCTTTCACTCATCACCTAGCCTTGTCCAAATCAGATTATACCCACTCATCATATCAATCTTCAAAAAGCTCGTAGCACCATACAATTGATCTAGCAAATCATCAAGCCTCAAGATTAGAAACCGATACTCGATTGTAATCTTATTAACCATCTTGCTATCAATGTGCATCCTCCATGATTCATCCTCTTAGGTATTAATAAGGTTGAAACTGAACGGGGACCCATACTATCCTTTACTAACCCTTTCTCCATTAATTCAGCCACATACCTCTACAACTACTCTTATTCCTTTTCTACTAATTTTGTAAGTAGGTTTATGTAGAATTATTAACTTAGGGATAAAGTGAGTGCATGATAAATATCTTGTATAGAAGGCAATCCCCTCAAAATCTCTTTAGGCATAACATCCTCAAATTTCTAAAGTAATGACTTTAACTCCTCAATTATCTTATTTTGCTCATTCTATTCCATCGTTATAAGTGCGCAAGCGAACTCAAACCCTTATATATTTTACAAAAACATAGATTCAGAAATAAGTTTCTTTTGACTACCATTATTATTGGCTAAAACTTCCCTCCTCAAAGGCATTAGGATAATCTTTTCTCTTTTAAAGACTAATGAGTATGTATTCTTAAACCCATCATGTATAACTTGTATGTCAAATTGTCACGGCCTCTCTAACAAAACTTGACAAGCATACATAAGGATTACATCACACTATACCTTATCTTCATACTTCTTTTCAATAGATAACTAGATAACTATACCGGACACTTCTTAGTTATATGTAACTCATTCTCTTTCTACAACCACATTAGTGTATTCGAGTTCAAATGATCAAT